TTGGGTCGTAAACATGAATAGTGGGTGAGAGTATCTGTAGGATGCCTAGTGATTCCTTTTGGGAATGTGTCCTTCAGTTTGGGGTTACTGCCCCATGCCCAAAGGGAGGGATGCCATCTTTTAGATTCTTCTAGTTTTAGAATCTTTATCTATCTTTCTATTCTTTCTTCAGACCACTGTAAAATATGCTTTTTTTTAGGAGATTTTATTTCTTTCGCCTCCTGTTATTATAATTTAATTCTGAACTGTTTTGTGGTAGAACCCAGAAAGAGAAATGAAAGAACATAGAGATAAAAAAATTGTGAAATTCATTGGTAATTTCTATTCTTCTTTTTTCTCATTCATTTTCTATAATTTTCTTAAATCTAATATCTTTATTTTCATTCTATTTCTTATTTATGTATATTTTGGATAATGATAATTTAACAACATTTTTTTTAAAATATTTTAACATCATCTACGTGTCATTCTGTGATTGGTCCAAAATTATTCCACAATCAATAATAATAGATTTAATGTTTTTGTAAGTCCCTATTTTCGTCCAGAATCTCAAATTGGTCCCCTTCTTTTTCGGCGTTTCAATTTGGTCCTTATTTTATAAAAATTGCAATAATTTGACCTCTACCATTAAATTGGGCCTAACGACATTAAACAAATGTTGATGTGACATGCTGATGTTAGTGTTTTAATGACGTAGCAAATTGTTAGATATATATGTGAGTCTCAGGTGGATTTTTGTGTTTTTAAAATTAAAGAAAAGGGAAAAAGATAGTTAAACAAAAGGTTTAATGTCTCGGTAGATCCCCATTTTGGTCAGGAATTTCAAATAGGTCCCTTTTCTTTTTTTCGTTTCAATTGGGTCCTTTTTATGTAAAACTTGAGCAATTAAAGGTCTACCGTCAATTTGGGCAAACGACCGTTTAAATGTTGATTACATGGCATCACATTAATGAGACGTGACATTATAAACTAATTTTGTATTAAAAATTATGAATGCATAGTGATGTAATCAGTTTTTTGGAAGGGTAAAGTGGGAATAATAAAAAACTTTAAGTGCAGCCATCACCGCAACCTCCATGACTGCCACGCGAAGCCTCCCTCGTCCTCGACCTCCCTAATGCCGCAAGCCAAGTTTGCATCTTTGTCATCTCCACCAGAAACGTAGATCTGCAACACCTCCATGGCAGCCACC